TTCTTTTATAATTTGGAATGTCAATTTTAAGATATTGACACATATTTTTCCTTTAAACATCTTTGTTTCAGAGTTTTACATTTTTGTATGAAAAAGTGCATTTTTCTTATTTTGTTAACTATATTTAGTTATTGTATATAAAAATTTGTATACAATTTGTTATAAACATACAACTTCACAAATAGTTTCTAAAGATGTCAAAATATATGTAAAAATTGCTTAATAATTTTTATATACTTATAAAAGTGATGAAAACTCAGGATACGAAAGACCCATCGTGTGTAGTAAGGGTTAATCATTGTTTATTTTTTATCTTTCCCCCTTTCTTACAATATTAAATGTTACTCTTAGAAAATTAAACAATGATCTTACATTTTACATCTTTTATTTTTAAAGTTTCGAAAGGCATTACTCGCGTATGCACTTGACACAAGACACGTGTTTCTTAATTATAGTCTGCTATAAACAGAATTGTGATAAAACGTTAATTAATTGGGAGTAATGGAGCATTACTTTTAATATGACATTTATTTATATAGACATAAATTGCTCGAAGAAAAATTCACCTCGCAACATTACATTGATGTAATATGAGCAGATCCAGAGGAAAATTTGTTGCAATGAGATATTGAATTCTACTTAACCGCATTATGCACACGAACGTTAAGGTCACAGGAAATCGTTAGTAGAGTAGAATAAAAATCACATCTGATTCATTCAAATTACAGCGGACAAAATTTTTTTCTCACGCGTATATTTTGTTATTCGAGAAGAGGTATGATTTATTTATTGTTCTTTGCTTTAAATTTCATTTTTAATACTTAAAAAGACATTTTTTTATTTTTATATTTATATAAATTTTATTTTTATCATTTTTATATTTATATAAATTTTTATTTTTATATTTATATAAAGTAGAACGCATATTATTGGAAATTAATAACAATTGATTAATATTTGTTACGTAATGGAACAAACATTTTGTCTCACATAAGTAGAAAATTAATAATATGATATTAAATTAAAACGTGGCATAAAAATAACACATTCATTATAGAATAGAAAAATATTTTATATAAAATAAGAACTTTATAGAGAAAATAGGTTTATTGTAGCATCGAATTTTATATATATATATATATAGAGAGAGAGAGAGAGAGTGTGTGTAGGTTTATTGATTCATATTGAATAAAAATTCTGATAAGAAACAGATCTCTCTCTTGGGAAATATATGAACTTTTATGGACTGTAGTAATTTCTTTTTCTTGTTTTTTTGTAAAAACTATCTCCTTTCTTTGAAACACATCGTCTATACAGAAAATATTTGCAGTCTCTTTTTTAAAATGCAAGTATAATATTTTTATTTAAAAATGTACTCTTATTTATTGTGTTTTTTAACTGAAACTTCAAAATATTTGCAAACGTATGTAATTGCCATTATAATTAAAATATATAAGTAAATCATTGCAAATGTAGCATCAATCAATTTTTTGATGAGTAATAAAAGAAATTAATTATTTTTTCTCTTTCTTTTCAAAATGTATTCTAATAAATTCTTAGATACAGTGAAAGTAAAAATATTTAAAAGTTAAAAAGATTTGCCACGTACTCTCGTCTCTGTTGCTTTCTTCGCTCGTCGAAAGAAAAATTCGAGCAGATGCGATCTTTTCCTCAACTTTTGCTTTTGACTTACGATGCATTTTTTTCTGAAACAACTATAATATCGATATTGCCTCGATCTATATCGCGGAATATGATTCTTTCTTGAACACGTCTAATCCGTAGTGCGTGCATTACTTAGAGAATGAAACAAAGGATGTAATATAAAATTTAAAAAATAATATGTACTAAAAGGTAATTTAAAAAACAATTTTGATCACGCGAATTGTATTTTTAACAAAAGCGATTTTTTTCAAATTATTATATATATAGTGATAATTTTGAATATACATATATTATATATATACATAAAAATATAAAGTTTATGCAAAAATATAATTAATAATCAAAATTTAATTTCAAATTCTTCAAATTATTCTAAGGTAATAAAATAATTGTGTTTTGAACTGACTTCTCGTAATGCTATTTAAATTTTTTATATCAAGGGAAGATCTTTCTCTTGATACCAATGCACGTTATGCATAGCGGATGAAAAATTAATGTGAAATCGGTATACTCTTATCGAATAAATTGATAAGAATTTCTCTTAAAAGTGAGATGCATATAAATTATTCAGAAGTCCTTTTATATATATATATATATATATATA